GGCTGTAAATTGGAGAGTTCTTTTTTTGCTGTTTATCCATTCTCTGGATCCAGTGAGACTGAAGAGAGTCATTGTTTCTCTCTACTTGGATAGCTGTGCCTGTTTCTTCAACTTGAGCTATCTGTAGCATTCACAACAAAAATGTACACATTTGGGAGGCTGATTAGTGGCACTTCACTGTGACAGTTGGAAAAACTGCATGTGGAGGAGATATCTGTTCGCCTAACTTTTACGGTATTCCAGTAACAGCTATGTGAAGTAAATCTGATACTATACTGATGGTATAGCAGTAAACAGTCTTTTTCAGCACCTTTTAATTTTTGTTCTAAATAGCTAGCATAGTGTTAATGACTGATATTTTGACAGCAATGAAATTGATGTTTTTCCCCAAGAGGATAATCATTGTCCATAATTACCAAACCATGCAGGTCTTCAGTATTAGCATGTGACTAAGAACGAGTAACCGTTTCCCATGTGGTTGTATTGTTATATATTTGATCTTGGAGGAAGCTGCAGCATAGACTTGCAATTGGAGTAAAAACTTTGTGGGGACCCTAGATAAACTTTGTAAGGTATCAAACTTTTATTGCTGCTGGTAGCTGCATCTGGCAGGAAAAATGTTAACGGGTTGCCTGCTTGCACTTGAATGTCATGAAGCTTCGATAAGCTCTTCTGCCTTTGTTTTTTTTTTTAAATCAGTATTGTGTTGGTTTCTGTTAATAGGGAGTGGGAGTTGTGAAGAAATGATTAATAGGAGGAAATGCGCGTTGCATGTAAAAGTGGTATAATGTTTTGGTTTCTTCTGAGTTCCTGACTAATGTTTTTACTTGAAATCAAGCGCTCTTGGCTAAAATAGTGTTATATTATATTCAATAGCGAAGTCTCTTAATTTTTAAAGGAATCTCCTTGAACCTCTCTTAGAGCTTAAAAAAACCCCCAAATTCTTATAGCAAGATGTGCAAAGTTGTATGTTTGTAGTGTTCAGCATGCATTGCATATTTAAAAAGTTACAAACAGTTAAAGTAAGCTGAGAAGTCAAACTCGGAGTGCAACCCTAAACTTAGTCAAAACCTGTCGTCCTTATTTCTCTCTACTTGGATAGCCCTGACTGTTTCTTCAACTTGAGCCATCTGTAGCACTTTCAACAAAAATGTACAAGCTTGATAGGTTGATTAGTGGCTTTCACTGGGATAGCCACTTTGTAAGGTGGATACCAAATAAGACAAGGTAGTCTGTAAAGATAGCTAGAGAACAAGCAGCTCATCTAGCCTTATTTTAGGTAAAGTGTTAAGATGCTCAGCCTGAAATAATGTTTGTAGAGTTATGTCATTAAATAATGAGGGATTGTAAATATTCCCTGTCGCCTTGGCATGCGTACCTTTGTCTTGGGTGAAATGCTGAACTTCTGTGGGTATGCAACTTCTGCTACCCTATCTTGTTCAGCATATGTTCAAGTATCACTACATGGCATAGCGAAGTCTGACATGGACCTAGCTTGAATGGTTGCAATGTAAGTCCAGTCCAGAAGAAAGAGAATATTTCAGAGTAACTGTTCATTTTCATTTATGGTATGCCAGCTTTTTAACATTCTCAGGCAGTGTTGTATGAAAGGCTGTAATGGGCTGGTCTCTTGTTGTGGAAGTATCATCTTCACCTGATTATTCAAGGGTATTTTCTGCTAAATTACACCATCTTACCTATTTGCTTGTTGAAACCCATAGTTAATTGCTGAGGGACTCTCGAGAGAACCTTTTACCTTGGAAGGAGTGGGGAGAAGTATATTAAGCAAGAACTTGCTGTAAGCTAAATAATTTTGACTGAAACTTAGCCTTAAATTTTCTTATGGTTGTGTTGTGCACATCTTCAGAATGTGGATGTACAGAAAAAGAAAAAAATGCAAATAATGTAATCTGAATAAGTGAAAACTTAAATGTTAAGTATCCATGATAGAGTAAATTTACATTAGTATAGCTGTTGGTGTGGTTAAACTCAAGATGCAACTACTACACTGAATGCTGACTTTGTTTAAATTAATTGTTTTAGACAAACCAAAGGAGGAGAAGAAAGATACTTTCTTAGAAAAGCTTGCAACGCAAGTTATAAAAAATGTGCAAGTCAAAATCACAGGCATTCATGTTAAATACGAAGATGATGTAAGTATCTGGAACATATTCTCTTCATTTTAAACTGGACTCCAGTGCAGTCATGCTTGTCTAGTCTATAGAGAGAAACTGTTCTCTGCCACCTTGAAAAAGTTGCTGTGGTTTCTGCTGCACCCCTTCAAGTAAAGTACCCCAGATATGACTGAAAGCCAGAAATATTTTTGGATATGTGAAATAGATATTCTCTCTTTTGCTGTTTCCAGTGGTGCCTTGCTCACTAAATGTGGATGGTGGCTGTTTATCATGTGTTAGTGTGTGCAGCTGATGTACAGGATTTTTCAGTGTCCTGGGCATAGTCCAGAATGGCAGAAACTGGTGGGGTACAGCTAAGTCAGAAGGCAAATAGCTGAAAACACTGAATTGATAAATGAGAATGTTTATATGAACCAAACTAGGATTATTCTGGCCTGCTTCCAGATTCCTTTAGGAAAATGATAAAGCAGTTTGTGGTGAGATAAATGAATGTAAAATAGAAGTATTGGATATAGAGTATTTCTCAAACCTATTTTGGGACTATTTTCAGAGACACTAAATTTAAAAAGGTGGGAGGAATGGAAGTAGCAAAATAATATAGCTGACTGAGATGTGGCACTCTGTAGTTCTTAGTTCTTTCCTGTATGAAGATTTCGGAAGCCAAAAGGACATTTTCAGCCTGAAGTCCTAAGTCTTTACACTACAACCATATTAGTTTTGGCCCAACTTAGGGGATTCCAGGAATGTGTCAGCTAGAATAGTTAAGCAAAGGAAGATCCTCAAAATAGCCTAGGATTTTAGTCAACTTTAATTAAATGATGCATCTCTGTTTGCAGCAAGAAAAGTAAATAGCTGTTATTTTTCTATTTTTGTAGATCACAGATCCACAGTGTCCAATTTCCTTGGGAATGACATTGGGCGAGCTTAGTTTACTGGTAATGTGTGTGTGCATGCGTGTTCTTCTGGTTTTGATTTACTTGTCTTTGGAGTAGCAGAAAGGAAAAGTAACTTACTAAGACGCTATAATGAAAATACACATACAGCTGGAAGCAAAGAGAATCTTTTATTCATGTAAATAGTACTTGAAGTTTGTGCAAGCAGAAGGGAAAGACGATTGAGGAACATCACACTTTCTGAGACTAGTGATTTGTTCTTATGATCAAAGTGGTTTTTAAACCTGAATATGTTTACTTTCATAGGGCAGGTTATTTTCCAGGCCTAATAAATAAATTAGGCCAAACGTTACATCATGATGATAAAGAATGTGGTATTTGCCAGGCCTTTTGAGAAATGGGGGGAGAAAATCTCAGCTGACCCCTGTTTTCCTTAGATGTTAAGGATTTTATGGGTAGGATAAGGAGTTGAAAATCAAAATAAACTGACAAATTTTATATTGGATTTTGACTTGTGCATATACAGTCTAGACAAACTGGCTTCTCTAATCAGGTAGCACCAAAATGATGCATTACGTCCTTGAAAGTATAGGATATAACTGCAAATGTGTTAAATAAGATGCACAGAATGACTTTTATCACTTTGAACTTTTAGACAACAAATGAGAACTGGACACCTTCTATTCTGAACGAAGCTGCAAAAATAATATACAAGGTAATGTGTTGGGTTTTTTTTTTCCTGTACAAGTGAAGAGAGCAACTGATCATGGAGAGAAATAATCTGGCGTTCTAAATAAAAATTGGAAAAATTGTTTGTGAATTCTCCTATCTTCCTTAATTTTGCTGTGTGTTTAAACAGAAGTAGAGCACAAATAACTGGTTTTATGTAAGGCATAACTTTCAACTCCATGGTTTAAATAATTTCCCTTAAATGCAAACATTGATCCCCTCATTAAATGTATTATACAGCAAGTCTGCATGGTAACTGTGATTTCAAATAGGTTGTCAAATTGCCATTTCCTACTCTAGTTTGTATGCCTGACATAATTGGGATTCTGGTAGCTAAGCAGTCTCTCTGTTCTCCTTGCCCTCCAATCCTGTGCTGAAAGAAGTATGCAAAGATCTAAGAAATTATAGGAATGATATAAGAATGGTTTAATAGTCCTGGCTCCTTTATTAGGCCAAATGTTGGTTTTGTGCACCCATGCCCCTGCAATCCAGAGTCTTATTTAACAGATGTGCATGAACTTGTGTGCTTGAACACCTTGCTTTTTAGCAATTCAATTTTCACTTCAAAAATAGTATTATAAGACTAAATGCGTCTCGGTGCTAAAGGTGGATTTGCTGTCTAGTCTGCTTTCATTTGTTTTCTGTTTTCACAAATGGAAAGCTAAGTTCATAGAATGGGTTGAATACTGAGTATAGAATCTGTTGAATGTTTTCTTTCCTCTGCAGCTTCTGTGCCTGGACAGCCTCAGTGCTTATTGGAATGTACACAGCAAAATGTATTATCATGGCTCCCGCGAACAAATACTGGTAACGTAGAAGAAAATGCATTAAACAGTGCTATATTCTGTAGCTGTTGTAGTATTCAAAACTATACCATACTAATTTCCACCCCACCCCTCACACTTCTGGTCAACTGTATTCTGATACCAGGGTCATATGTTAATCCATTGCACCATTGATAGCTAACATTTTTTTTGTGAATTTCATATCTTATGAACCCCTATAGGTTTTAGAAATGGTCAGAAACTGTGTCTGTAAAATCATGTTCTACTGGCATTAATAAAAATTCAGATATTAGATTTTTATCAGAACAGGAATTTGTCATGTTATCCAGATTACCTAAGCTGCATGGCTGAAATTAACCAGATAGAAGAACAAGATGTTAAAACAAAAAGTTTTTTTTTTTTTTTTTTTTTTAATAAACCAAAAAAAACTTAGGTAGGTAGGTATCCATTGTCAGACTTAAATAAAGAAACAAAAAATTGCAGAGGGGCTAATGTAGTGGTTCCTTTAAGGTAGCAACCCTTATTATGGAAAGTAGCTTTGTCAAAATTTTGAAGAGCTTTGGTAGAATAAGTTGCATGGATGGGTGAATGAGTACGCTATGCTTGACAGACAGAAGATGGGTCACAGCTTTAAGTGTGGAATGCACAGTAGGACTAAACAGTGAAGACTTTTGAAAATTAGGTTAGGTGGAACATAATCAAGGTAGACTATGGAAAAGATGATGCTGGAAATACTTTTCTCCAACTTGGTGAAGCTAGCTCAGGTGGTGTAGAGACTAGAGAAATAGATGATGGTGTTTCAGTGCAGAAGATGAAAGGCACCATGAGGGCAGTGAGGGTAAATTAAGACAGAACGAGAGGCAGATATCTTAAAATGGTAATTAGAGGGAAAGAATAAAATCAAATTTGTGTGTGTAGGCTTCCTGGAGGCTATGTCTAGGTTTTTTTCCTGATTCATTCATGTTTTGAGTTGCTGTTAGCTAGATGAGTAGTGGAATACTGCAACTTCTAATATTGTAAGTGTGTGAAGTACTTGTTTTGCTTTCATTTCATTGCTGTGTTATCTTCTAAGTCTTACTTTCCCAGAAGAGGAACTGGGAACTTTGGCAGCATGAATAGAATAGAGCAGTTATATAGACATAAATTGTGGCTGAGGGCACACATCCTCTTTCTGTACAACAGCTGAGGACTTCTGAGTTGCAAAAGCACTATTACTACTAAGTTTATTTCATACGGCCACTTCATTCATGTGATTAAAAGAGCTCAATTTTAGGTAATGAGAAACAGTTGTTCTAGTGAGCTTTTAGGTAGTACATTACTGAATATCTTAGATTCTGCAAGTAAACTTTAGAATGGATTATGAAAACAAGTTACTTTGCTTGCAGTAGCGGACATGTGATTACTGTTGTTAGTTTGTCTGAATCTTATTTCATTTTACTGTGGAGAAGATCAGATGTGCAGTGTATGTTTTCTGTGTATCTGCATTCTATTTCTGGTGTGAGTGCTCTCTGTGCAAAAATGGGACACTTTTGACCCATTATGTTTATAAAGGTTATACAGGTGTTCTGTGTGTCCTTGTACAATACTACTTGTTTCCTTTTTTTTTGTGCTCAGCTTTTACAGGTATCTTTATTTTATTTTATTTTCTCCTTAACAAAATATACAATTAATCTGGTGAGCTGGGTACTGGTATGGAAGGTTGAATCAAAACTGTGAAGTGTTTAAAACCAGCCAGTCATTTAATGTTCTTTGAATCTTGTCTGTTATGTAGAACTTGAAACCTAGGTCCTTTTATTTTTGTTCTGGTTCCCTTCATAGGGCACTGTTTATTGTCTCAAGATTGGGGTGTGAATTCACTGTATGTAGAAGATCTTGTGAATATGTTGATTTCTCTTCCTGTCTACAGTCTCTTGCTTTGCTCTTTAAAGAGCTAAACTTCCTCAGAGCACTTCCACTTCTGCCTTTTTGATTCAGCAGAAATGCTTACATATTTTTAATAATAGTCAAGTTACTTTAGCTATGGAAGTCTTCTCTGTTGTATCTCAGTCTGAAATGAAGTGTAAACGCAAACCAATACACAGTTTGAATTGACAGTAGCAAAAGTCTTAGTTCTTCAAATGTGTCATTCCAGCACAGTCAGAAAGAACCTTTATGAATCAGTGCTTGACATGCTTGTGGACAGATGGCTTTGTGGGCTTACCTGATGCTGTCTGGCAGCTTAGATCTCAGTCCTTTTCAAGGACACTTCAGCTTACTATTAACTAAGCTGCAAGTGAAGATGCTGGTGTGGTTTTTGTTGAACTTAGGTTTTATGTATCGGGACGTACCACTTTCTGTACCATCATGAAGCAAGTTTTTAACAGGTTCTTTCTGAAAGAATTGGAAATTTTTCCCTTCATGACTGTAAAATGGAGTTGCCTGTTTCCAAAGCTTGTGGCATGTCCTGCATGTAAACGTTTCTTTGAGCGCTGAGGCAGAGCAATTTCAGTGTAGCAGACAGCATCCAGTATTCTAACCACCTATTAACTTGAAGCATCTCACCACTTGCAGTTTTTCCAGTTCTTGAAATCCTTAGCAATTTTGGCACTGTATACTAGTATCACTTTGCATACTGGCATCATCTCCATTATTTGGATTTTTTTGCATCTTTTGACTGTTTGATGACTTCTTTTAGTTTGAATTTGTCAATTGTGATTAGTCGTCTTTGTGTTCTTGTGCCTAAAAAGGGAAGAGAGGGATAGCAGGAATAAGATTGGAACACATCTGAGAATATTTGAAGAAGCACAGGGAAAGAAGGAATTCATCATGGGCATAAAATTACTTGTGTCAATCTTCTCTCTCACTTGTTAAGTCCTCTCTGCTTCAGAATTTTAAAACGAATGCAGGAACTGAACAAATAGCAAATAAGATGTCTTGTTTAGTAACATTATCTGTATTAAATACTTGAATATATTTTATATGTAATTTTTAATGTAGGTTGTTTCCTGGAAAGCTAGATCTTCCATCCAGACAGGCTGTTTTGGTCTTAATTTTAAGCAGTGTTATCAGGAAATCAGATTTATCATAGTAGCTAATTGGTCTATGTTGTAGTAAGAATAAGCTGTGTAATCTGTAGCACTCTGTTACTTTCATACAACAGTCTTCGTACTTAAATAACACAAGTATATGGCTGGTTGTCAGATTAGCTGTTTTATGCTTAATGTCATTGAAATTTAGCTTTTATTCGTATAGATTAGCAGACAGGAAATGGGTTGAAATACAAATATTTTTAATGAGAAAGTATGCCTTTTATAAAATACAAACCAGTTTTTAAATAAGGAACTGGGAAAAGGATTAGGTTGAAGAAATTTGTAGTTGCAAAATATTGTTCTTGTAAAAACAACTCTTAATGTTGATAGCCTTTCTAAAATATAACGGGAACTAGCACTTCATCTGCCTTCATGTAATAGCTAATATGTACATCTTCCTAAAAGCAGGCCTTCTGCTTTAACTGATTGTGCCATTGCAATTCTGAAACTAGGTAAAATGTTTGGGTGCGAATATAGCATTCTCAATAGATTGCTGAAGAATTATAGCATCAGACAGACCTAATTTTGAATTAAGACTCTGTTCTAGCATGATATTTCTCAGGCCTCTTAGGCTGTTCTGTTATTTTCCTGAGTTCTTTCCATCTTTAATTCCTCTCATACCTGCAGAATACCAGAATCACAGAATCATAGAATCATTTAGGTTGGAAAAGACCTTTAAGATCATCCAGTCCAACCATTAACCTAACATTACCAAGTCCACCACTAAACCAATTAAGGGCAGAGTAATAATTTCATGTTTCCTGGCTTGGTGGCTGGATTATTTTTTAATGAAAGTAAAACTAGGAATCATTAAGGTTGGAAAGGACCTCTAAGATCATGAGTCCAACCATCAACCCAACACCACCATGTCCGCTAAACCATGTCCCAGAGTGCTACATCTACCCGTTTTTTGAACGCTTCCAGGGATGGTGACTCCACCACCTCTCTGGGCAGCCTGTTCCAATGCTTGACTACCTTTTCCGTGAAGAAATTTTTTCCTAATATCCAATCTAAATCTCCGCTGACGCAGCCTGAGCCCATTTCCTCTTGTCCTTTCACTGACTACTTGGGAGAAGAGACCAACACCCACCTCACTACAACCTCCTTTCAGGCAGCTGTAGAGAGCGATAAGGTCTCCCTTCAGCCTCCTCTTCTCCAGACTAAACAACCCCAGTTCCCTCAGCCGCTCCTCATAAGACCTGTGCTCCAGACCCTTCACCAGCTTCGTTGCCCTTCTCTGGATGCACTCCAGCACCTCACTGTCTTTCTTGTATTGAGGGGCCCAAAACTGGACACAGTATTGCAGGTGTGGCCTCACCAGTGCTGAGTACAGGGACACAATCACCTCCCTGCTCCTGCTGGCCACACTATTCCTGCTACAAGCCAGGATGCTGTTGGCCTTCTTGGCCACCTGGGCACACTGCTGGCTCATGTTCAGCTGGCTCTAGTGGCCTCCTTATGTGCTAAAAATGAGGAGGGGTAGAATGTGAATAGGTACTCCTAGTACCTTCAAGGAGTTTAAAAACAAATGCTTGATCTGTTGTGTTACATGTTTGAGTGTACACGAGCTGTATATTTCTAAATAAACACACATTAGTTGTTATTGCAATATTTAGACAGAAGTTGAATGAAAACTGTACTAACCTTCCACTTGACATGAGAAACTTAGAACTCTTTTTAATCTGGTGTATTTAAATCCTTCACTCTTAAGTGCTTGTGCTATATTAGCTTTCCCATTTAGGGGGAGGAGGCCCTTGCGTGTGAACTTAAGTTGGTCTGCTCAAAGCTTAGAGAACTGTAAACAAGTAATGCTCTTCAACGATTGCTAGATGGTATCGTATTCCTTTACAGGATCAGCTGAAAAGAGGAATTCCATGTAGTGGTAACCAGCCTCAGGACTACCAGTATAGTAAGTAAGCTAGGAATGAGTGAATATAAACTGTTCTGAGCATGTTAATATACAACAGCCTGACCTGATCATGCAGGCATGCCCATACTAACTTTATTTAAAAAAAAAAAACCCTAAACATAGTAGAACATATTAATGCTTGTATGCTCTTTGACTACTGCTGGGCTATCTTAATTTTTGGTAAAAATTGCATCCTGGTTCTGTGGGTCTGGAGCATACACATTATCAGTACAAAGTGGTTGCTATATCAGGCAGTGGAAATAAGTACTTTAAGATCACTCCCCATACTTTCATTGTAAACATAAAATTAATCTCAACTTTTTTATCTTTAAGTTTTTAGACCAGTATCAGCCTCTGCAAGACTGTATATCAACCCATATGCAGAAGTAGAACTAAAAACTCCCAAGCTTGATTGTAATGTAGAAGTGCAGAGAATCGTCATTGAATTCACTAAGCCACAGGTAAGTTGGCTTGGTGTCGGTTACCACCTATTTCAGAGCTTGTGATGAACTGTAGGATTTTTTTTTTTGGTTGGAAAACATTCTTCTTTGGGAACTTTCTGCTTATATGCAAGTAGACTGTCTAAACTGTTTAGCAGTAACTGTGGGAAAAGCGTAGGATCATTTTCCCTTTGTGTAACAGTCACTTCCTGGTGCTAGATCCTGATGCTCTGACCTTGTTATCTGTGGACCCTCTGGGGACCATCTGATCTGTATTCAGCCCTTCCAATAGCATTCCTTTCGCATAGAGGATGGAGTCATTCTTATGAGTAGCCCTTATCTTATAAAACTATAAGCCAACATTATAACGGCAGAGATGCCAAGATACAAGCAAGGGTGGGAATGAATGGAGTATACTGGCTTTGGCAACAAAGCCTGCTGAAGTGTCAAGGAACTCATTTAGATAGCTCCCCAGCAATGTTAGTGTTTTCATTTATTCAGTGATAATTTACAGTTAGTTTGCTAGATAGCTTTTTGGCTCTTACAGATGTCAGTGTATAATCTGAGTTCAGAATGGTACCAATAAGGTTAACTAATGTAAACACAGTTCTAAAATTGGGGGAACTGTGTTTTGGCAAATGAAGAGAATACAGTTGGTTTGAGGAAGCCTGAGACTTTGTGCTGAGCAGGCTAACAGAAGTACAAATCATTTTTGTTCTTCAGGGAAACCAGAAGTTCATATGGTGGTGTCCTTTGAGAGTAATGGGTATAGTTGGTCCACTTCTACACACCAATGAAAATTGAAAGGCTTAAATTTCTATATAGTTTTGGGAGTAGTGAGGAGGACCATGGTGTACATGTACTATAAGCACTGTGTGCAACAAAATCTGAACCTCTGCTAAAAAACTTGGTTTTCTGTGTTTAGTACCTCAGCATGATAGACCTTCTGGAGTCCATTGATTACATGGTTCGCAATGCACCGTACAGAAGATTTAGGCCAAATGTATCTCTCCATAAAAATGCCAGACAATGGTAAGCTCTGTATGTTCATGCATTCTTTGGGAGATGCTGGAATCCATCTCCAGTCTCTTCATTTTCCTTTTGTGGTTAAATGTAGCTTTAAAAGTAGATTGCATATGTCATTATGACTTTCACAGAGCTTGGCTTAGCCAAGTAGAAAAGGCTTGCAGAAGAGAACATGTGAAAGAATCAAGTGATGAAAATCTGACTTGCAAAGCTAACCCTGGTCCCCAAAATCTCTGAACAAAATGCTGATGGTCTCTCTAGAAGTTAGAATATGATTTTAGAAAGACTAAAGAAAAGAATTAGCAAACGTATTGCAAGGGAAACATGTATGGCAACTGTAATTTTAAAGTTTTGAGCTGATAGACATTTTTGTAGATTTTTTCTAAGTACTAACTGATGCTGATTATCAAAGTGCATAAGTGTACTTAGTGCTGTTACAGCCCAAATTTGCAAACATGCAAAAGTCAATAGAGAATGTGGATTTATAGTTCTTCAGGCATTAAGCATAAGCTCTCAGTCCATTTTTCAGAAGTGATGTTGAAACCATTAAAATTTTTATAAACAATGCTACTGAAATGACAAGCAGTAAACAAAGTGCTTGCATATTAATAAACTACAACTGCAACTTTTAAGTTGTAATACACAAATGAAATGGGAAGTTGCTCACAAGTGTGGAATTATTGTAGGTGGAAATATGCAGGTAACAGTGTTCTTGAGGTTCACGTCAAAAGACATACTCGAATGTGGTCGTGGAGTTACATAAAACAACATAGGCAGCTTCTGAAGAGTTACAAAAATATGTACAAGAACAAGCTGACACAGAGTAAACTGTCAGAAGAAACACAGAGGCAAATTCAGGTATGTGTGTTTTCTCTTTGCAGAAAGTATGTTTTGGTCCCTTTATTAAATAATTCTTTAAATATACATGACAGTAATCAAGGTTGGTAGTTTTACAAGAGCACAAGAGTTCTGTGGAAATACTATTTTAATCTGAAGTTCGGTGTCACCTGTTGTGGAAAGAAAGAAAATACTAGTAAAGTGCCATTTAAATAAACCCTTTTTGGTTGCGGATTAATGAACTTGGATGCATTTAATGAAGTGCAAGATTAATCTATTTAAAAAAAAATAATTAGACTGCCTAACATCAGGTTTCATCTTCTAGTGAACTTCTGCGGGTGGTATACCCTTGAAAGAAAGGAGCAGGTCTATAAAGGAATTGAAGTGTAAATATGAAGGAGCTGGTAGACAATTTGTGGTGGTGAGCCTTTCCTAAATCTGTTTTAGAGGCAAATGATTTCACCATATGTTTTTACAGGACCTAGAAAGAAAGCTTGATGTCTTCAATATCATCTTAGCAAGACAACAAGCACAAGTTGAGGTAAGAAATAATTTTTGTTCAATAACACTGTAAAACTTCAAATAGGATGGTTTTGTCATGATAGTGTCTTGAAAAAATTTGTGCTGATGAGTATTGTAAGACAGGGAGGTGGGAAGGCAAGTTTCCTATCCTTCCAGGGCAAGAGTAAATCGATTTCCAAATTGGAAACCACTTCCAAAAACCTACCAGTGTGTGTGTGCATAGTGTTACTGCTACCCTTTTTGTACCATTTAGGCAATTTTCTCGGGGTAATAATTTAATGATTCTTTTCTTCTTTTGACTTCTGTTATTTCAAAACCGGTTCTGCAGCTGTTCAAGATCAAACATGTACAGCTGTTCCCATCCTACCTACACCTTTAGATACTCTCTTTTTAGAGGACAGCCAATCTAATTAAAAGACAACTCTGAGAGAATTGTTAAAAGGTAGATGAAGCCTCTAGCTGTATTTTATTTTGGAAATCAGTTGTGACACTTAACAAGGAGTTGCATATTATAACATTATGAAAAGTGTTGTATCTGCAGTTGAGATCAAAACCACCTAGCACACTGAGGACAAGCTCAGAATAGTTGTCTTGTGAGAAGCATGCTATTGGTAGATATTTTCCTAACATGAAAATTAACCTCTGTAGTTGCATGATATAATTACTGTTCATGCCAACATGGCCTCAGTGTTTGTCTTCACATCTGGAATGTATGTAAAATGAAGATGAAAAAATAATAATGATGTTTCTTATTTTTGAGATGGTTGTGGTCAGACCTTGATTTTTAAAATGCAAAGTGAAAGCCTGAGTACATTAAATACATGTAATGGTACAGGATCAGTCTTCAGGTTTGTTACTACTAGATTTAAGGAATGTAATTGCTTCTTGTATCCTCTTAAATACTGTCTTTTCATGTGGTTCCTGCCTTTTTGTAGTCTAAATGATGGTGAAATGTGTAGGAAAAGGCTGTCCAAAGTAAAAGTAACGTGCTTGTTTCCACACACATGCATGCATGCGCACACACACATATATATATGCTGCCCACCCTGATCCTCTTTTTGTTTCTGTGTGGTGAGTCAAAGTGCTCTTAATTCCTTGCGAAGTGATATGGCTGTCCATCAGTTAAATGTCTGTTCTACATACATACATGCATTATTTACAGAAAAACAAAATATATAGTAATTCTCTTAATTATATATTTTAATGTCTGGTTTGCAGACAATAAGATCAGGACAAAAACTACTGAAGAAGAAAACCACTGAAGTAGAAAAAAAAAGTGGAGGATGGTTTGGTGGTTTTTGGGGTAAAAGAGAATCGAGGAAAAAGGAAGATGAAGAATCACCTGTTCCTGAAAGTAGGTGTAGACTATAATGCACTAACTTCTATAGAGACTTCAAGTTTTTTGTATACATTAAGGAGAAAGTTATAGTATGTTTTGCTTCCTACTATGCAGGAGGAGAGAGTATGGCATCAACAGTGCGATGCAGTATGGATCCATTTTATAGTATTGCTTACTGTTAATGAATATTGAGCTGGCTAATAAGGCATACTTCTGAAATGCCCATAAGCATTTCAGAACCTTGGTAGGGAGAAGAGTATTGAACTTAAAGCTGTAGTCTAATAGGCGATGATTGGAATACTCTATTCTGGTGATTTGCCGTCTGGACCAGAGATTTGTTCTAATAGTACTCCTCAAACCTATTTTCATCATTGAGAATTATGGGTACTCTTGTAGTGTAAGTTTTATTGATTTCTGTGCTACATATGTAATGCCATATATGAAGACTGCTTCTGTGTAAATTATTTTACAATATGGAACTTAGTGCAATATGAAGAATCAAATGTGTCAGCAGAACTTAATACAGTAGAAAACAAATGGGGGGAAAGACACTTATTGTTACTAGTTGAAGTGCAAGTTTTTGTGGGTTTTTGGTTTTTAGCTATTGATGAACTAATGACACCAGAAGAGAAAGCTAAGCTTTTTACTGCTATTGGATATAGTGACAGCTCCCATCACCTTTCCTTACCAAAGCAGGTAAGCAGCTTCTTATGAGGATGGTTTAAAAACCAAAGCCACAACAAAACCACCACAACAAAAAACCCCACAAAAACCAACCAAACAAAAAAACTTTTCTTGTGCATGTTAGCTTTAAGATAAGCAGTAGAATGTGTGTCAGTGCAAGTCAAATCTATGTTGAATGTACAAAGAAGATTAAAAAAAAAAAATTATGCAGAAAACACAAAGAATGGCTAATGTTTTCTTTGGTGGTGTTCTGCCTTGTGCACAACCCTAATCTGGAGTGATTTAGAAGTAACAGAAACTGGCTGATAGATGCCTATTTGCTACTCGGAAGAAAATTGAAAAAGCTAAATGTAAATGGAGAAAGCTAACATGGGATCTTTTTTTATTGCATCTATTTCTTGCTACCTGTTGTGGTGAGAACTAAAGTAGTCTGTGTGGTCTTTTTCGTTTCTTTTGGGGTTTTTTTGTTTGTGTTTTTTGTCGTGTTTTTTTTTTTTTCCCCTTTAAATCCAAAGTCAGTTTGATTCTGATAATGGAATAGTTTTTTATATGAAGGTGAATGTAAGCAGGAAATAATTACATGCTGGACCCAATGTTTATAATCAGGGATGCTTTTGTTAGGAGGATTATGTTATGTTTCTATTAAAATGTTTGTCCTAATGATTAATAATAGGAGATTTCAGTTGTAGTTCTTTTTTTCTACTACACAAAGGAAAGCATAAAATTAAAACCACTTTTTTGTTACAGATTTTTTTTTTTTTTTGGCTTATTAAGCAAAGGAATAAAAGATAAAACTTCACAGGTATAGTATTCTTGAGAGGGCTTATAGGAAGAAAGCTAGAAAGTAGACAGCTAGGAAAATTAAATGGTAAGGTTTCTCTCAGTACACTTATTTTCTGTGAGTGCTATTACATCATTGTTTCAAATCTTTATATGACTGTGGTTCTGCTTTAAGTTGCTCATCACTTTCAGAAGCACTTCTTACATTAAGACTATTTCCTTCAAGGAGGATGTTGTCTCTTCTCCCAACAGGCCTCCCCAATCTCCAGCCCAACACTCCAACTTTCCAACCTTGTATTTTTTTGTTAAATTTAATTTTTATAAGCTTACATGTGCATCGCACAGGGAATTTCAGAATTGAGTGGCAACACGGAGGCCTGTGTGCTGTTGTATGAACTTGTGTTCCTGTCAAATTGAAAAGAGCAGAGTAGCAGCAAACATCTCTTACCAACAAAGAAGAGACACAGCCCAAACAGTGCCCAGTAATGGTGCTTTTTTTTTCCCTTGTTTCATGCTTTCCTTGCTTACCTGTGTAGAAAAACTTCCATTTTTAATTTGGACAAATTAAGTGTAAAGGTGCTTTCATCTCTGTCAGTACCCTGAGGAAAGGTGCAGGCTTCAAATCCAGATAGGAAATATTATTTGATTCTTAAGTTGCTGATTGACACAGTCATAAAATGGTACATGTGTTAGGAAGCCAAAACCCTTCCTTGACAAGGCTGAGAGATGACATTCAGCAGCAAGAACAAGAAAGGCATATATGCAATGTCTTCTAAAATGTAGTTATTTGATGGGATTATGATGATTTTGTTTGTTGATCTTGCTAGCTCTCTACTGAGTGTAGTTTAGCTATGCTTGTTTTCATGGTTTAAAAAAACTTCCCTGAATCCTGCAAAGAGATACAGACTGTATCTGCTCTGCAGTTGTTGAAATGTACTGTTTTATGCCAAAGAAATGACTAATAAGTGTTGAAAGAAAGAATACTTCACTTCTTGCATAGGGATGTTTCTTACCTTAGTCAACTGGAATAGCTTTAAATACCACATTTCGTTAGATTTGTTGAAATTAGGAGTTCTGAGAAATTATTCATATCAAGATGACTGACTTCAGTTTTCTCTGTCCTTCTCACTAGTATGTCGCCCATGTTGTGACACTGAAGCTGTTAAGCACTTCTCTTACAATTAAAGAAGACAAGAATGTGGCAGAAACTCTTAAAGTACAGATAATTGATCTGAGTACCAAAATATCACAGCGCCCAGGAGCACAAGCCATTAAGTAATTGGACTGGTATTTTCTTTTTGTAGAAACATCTTCTTCCCCTCCCCCCAACTTTTTCCATCTCTTCTTGGGTAGTGCATTGTGTTGTATATTGACTTTTAAATTTATGGGCATTCTGCAGTGGCGCTCTGAAAAGTTTGTCACATAATTTGGTGAGTAACGCAGAATGGAATGAAGAAAAGAATAATACTTGTTAGTCTTCATAAACAATAATAAGCTCTTTCTCAAATCTGGATGTTGAAGTGCTGGATATTACTTTTGGGAAGTTATACCTAAACAGTGTGAAATGGTCTGGCTAACACACTCCAGCCAAGCTACTGAATGTGTTGCTTACTTTCTACAGAAACAAAAAACTACGTCTGTGTGTTGTGTGTAGGAAATTAACCAGCATGTAGGAAACAGAGTCCGTCCTGTGTGTTAAGAGAGAGCACACCAGAAATATTGAACACAAATTATTGGATTTTACAGTCAATGAATAAGATTTTCAGTGTCTGGGAAATGAGTCTGTGCACTTTTCATGCTTTCATTTGCAGTTCCATCTTCTGACTTTATGCATAAGATCACCAGCTCAGCTGCTGACTCCTGAAATATTTTTGCTAAAAGCTGTTCTGCAGAATATTAAAGCTGCAGCCTGAATGCTGCACAAAAATAGAGACCTTTGAGAATACTTTATGTAAATGCATGCCATGCAACTTAGTTGGCAAGACTGAAACAGTAGAACAGATATTTTTGTTGATTTTAAGTTTCTAGAAAAATGTAATTAGGTTATCTCAATGGAGCCAGGCTTTTGACACTGATTATGCCCAAACTGTGTTGCCTCCCAGAGTCGGGGATTCCAATGGTGGAGACCCAGGACCTGAAAATCAGTTTTGTATCTAATATGTACTTCTAAGGACGGATGAAGTTTGTCTGGTTTGGAGGTGTTCACATGGCTTGCTTTCAGAGGCATTTTTGTACTGACTCCACTTGACACTGTTGTCAGGGAAGCTGTCGGTAAAGAATACCCATTTGCACCAAAACAAGTCTGTAACTGGTTTTCAAATCAATATGTAATAGTTAACATTCCTACTCTTTTTCACCTGTAGCATAAATATTCTGCCTTTCTTTTCTCTTGCAACTGATTCTCTTAATAAACGTGAACTGAAAGTTCTATTCAGTCCACCTTGCAGGTAACAGAAGGTAGAAAATATCACCCTTGTGTTGCTGTGAACAGCTTGCCTCCTATTTACTTTTCCAATTTATTAATGTAACAATTTCTTAACCATGTGGTATGTTAGTCCTGTGAAGCTAGTCATGTTTGGCTTTATCAAAGGCTTTCTCATCTTGCTTGTCTTTCCTAGATGGAACTGTGTTCTGTATTCTAATTAAGTATATTTAACTATTCATCTTCTTTAGGGTTGAAGCAAAGCTTGAAAACTGGTACGTTACAGGCCTGAGACAAGAAAACATTGTACCATCTCTTGTGGCTTCCATAGGGGATAGCAAGTCTTCTCTACTTAAGATAGAGTTTAATGTTAACCCAGAGGATAGTACTGCTGACCAGAGTCTTACTATTGAATCACAGCCTGTGGAAATCAAATATGATGCAGTGAGTAGTAACCAAAACTCTTACCTCTTTTTCTGATTCTGTTTTCTCTGCCGTTATTCTCTTTGCTCGGTCAAGATCTATTTTTGAGTTTTTACTGAGTGACTTCTGTGTATATTGATAATTCTTGTTTGGGGTTTTTTTTGTTTTTTTTTTTTTTTTTTTTGAAAAGAAAACAATAAATCAAATGGTTTTTTTTGTTTTTTTTTTTTTTTTTTGAAAAGAGAACAATAAATGCAATGGTAGAATTCTTTCAGACAAGTAAGGGAATGGATCTTGAAAGATTAACATCAGCTACATTAATGAAGCTGGAAGAAATCAAGGAAAGAACTGCTACAGGTAAGATAATAACAAATCTCACCTGAGGTGAACCCTTGAACATCTTAGAATGTTTCAATATAGTTTTCTAAACACTTTGCTTATGTTTTTATCGCTGGCCAATTAGTATGATTGGGTGTTTTCCTTGAGTTTTTGACTTGGAGGATTAGTGGATGTTTTGTGGGGAGGAGCATTGAATTCAGTGAGAAATCAGTAGAATGTTAGAAAAGTAAGTCTTTACTCAAGATGCATTATCTTTCAGAAAGATAGCATCTCTTTGTATGTTGACTGGCACAAATGTTTCACTTGTGAATAGCATTTCAATTTTAATGTCCCTTCTTTTTTATTTAAGGATTAGTTCATATTATTGAAATGCGGAAAGTCCTTGAGTTGAAGATTAATCTGAAACCTTCCTACTTTGTGGTTCCACAGACTGGTTTCTACCATGAAAAATCAGATTTGCTGATTTTGGACTTTGGTACATTTCAGGTATATAAATGACCTTTCTGATAAGCTCAAAGGAAGAAAATACTCTTTTCTTTTAACATACCTGTCATCTGAAACTATCTTGTTTTCAGGGGGTAAAAATGATCATCTGTGTGAATGTGTTTTAACTTACTATATTTCTTGCCAAATAAATTTGGGTTGGCAATTTGATCAATGTTCAGAGCTGTTAAGTTGTCTTTGACATACTAAAACATTTTCATTTTGTAATCATGATTGTAATAGCTTATCATTTACTATCTTTCATTTCTAGAGTAAAACACATGAACTATTTTTCCCTTTTTTGTAGAATGATAGCCTTTTATTAATAAAAGAGAATATAATTTTTCTCTCGGAGTTTGAAAGTTCATTCCCTTGTTCGTATGAAATGGAAAGATTACAAAAATTTAACTTTATTGTAGCTGAATGATTAAATGTTTATTTTAGTTGTACTCCAGCAATAAACTTGTAAACTAATAAGAAAAATTCTTTTTGCATAACTTGGATTAAGTGGATTGATAGAATTAACAACCCCCTCCACCCCCTACTTACTCTTGGTAAGCAAAGTATGAGATGAATTAAGATCTCTTCTTTGTAAGAGTCCAAATGCCAATCATAAACTCCTATGAATCATCTTTTTCATCTTCACTAGAATTAATAGCACGTGTATGTAAGTTTTAGACTTAACTTTATCTTGTCCTTTATGTGTTTAGCTGAACAGCATAAACCAAGGCAGTAGTCAAGCTTCTAGTTTTTCATCTTTAGAGGAGATTATGGACAAAGCTTATGACAAGTTTGATGTGGAAATAAAAAATGTGCAACTTCTTTTTGGAAGAACAGGTAACAAAACAACATAGTTGCTGTTTACTCAAAAGATTGATGAAGGGTACCTACCTGTAATAAATATGTATGTTTTTTTAAAGAAAAAAGGCAAGCCAAAACCAGTAGTTAACTAGAAGATTAGAATACATGTCTGGTATTAAACTGAAAAAATTTTTTAGTTTCTCTTCAAACAGCTGCTTGCTTTTTGTTTGGACCTCTTATAACCTCTTTAATGCCAGCAAGCAATATAAATGCATAGAACTGTTATGCTTTCCATCATATGCAGAAAAATACAGCTAAAATTGGCCTTAATGCTTCATTCGGACTTAAGTTTGTGCAGTCAACAGAATGCTAGGTTACTGTTTTATATTTATCCATCTATCTAAGTTTGTTTCTTTTTTTTAGGGTTCTATGTTCAGATACACCTTTTAGTGTAGAATTGGGCTTGAGGCTAAGGCAATACAGTGTTAAGAACTATTGAAAATGGATTCAAAAGCTCTTAAAATACTTCCCCTAATTTGTTCTAGATTAGTTTGTGAGTGGGTTCTTTATCCTTTCCTAGTGATGCCATTTGATTACTTTAATGATACCTTAATTAAAGCAATTAGCAAGTGATGTTTTTTCATCTAAATTTACTGAACATTTGCAGGTGAAGACTGGAAGAAGGCTCGTTTTCAACATCCATCAACTTTGCACATATTACAGCCTATGGATATTCATGTACAGTTGGCAAAATCGATGGTAGAAAGAGATACCAGGATGGCAAAGTAATATATTAATGTTGAAAGGACTTCTTTTTAATTACTGTGTACTTACAGAAAAGTGTATTTTCCGCAAAGGTTCAGTTACACTTTATAATTTGGAGGTATTAACTTAAGAAATAGAAGTAGCTTACTACTACTTATGAAACCTTTTTTAGGTAGTAGTTCCCTGGTCACCTTCACGGGTTACTAACTATACTGTTTAAAGGAAGTCCCAGACCTGATTTTAATGCAGGATCACTAGCTTTCCTGTGATGTGATCTTCATATATGAGTATAGATATTGGTAAGATTTAAATCAAGAATTGGTATGTACTTTTTTTGTCTTGGAGCTTAATGAAATTATTTTTAAAAAAGGTTTAAAGTGTCAGGAGAACTTCCTTTGGTGCACGTCAGACTCTCTGACCAGAAAATCAAGGCAATTTTTGATCTGATTGATAGCATTCCGTTGCCTCAGAAGTCATCTGTGTCAATTCCAAGCACAAAGGTAAGCTGATTATAACTAAGAAAACTGAAATTAAAAAAATGACGTCAGTAAAGTGATCGTTGTAAGTGTGAACTGCTGCTAATGTCTGTGGTCTTTATCACTTGAAATAAGAGATCTGTTGCCAAGCTGAGTTACATAAAGCGTCTTCGTTATAACTTGCCATCAGAACATGCTGGGCTTGTTCAAACAAGGCTAGCTTAGCCTTTGTCACTGCTGGTTTCAATATAAGTATTGGCAAAACTGACCTTTCTAAGTAATATGGAGGAGGCAAGGTGAAACATGCATCATTAGTAGAAAACATCACTGAACATACCAAGTTATGCAAACTTTAAAATAGTGATTTTTTTTTTAAATTTTTTTTTTACCTTTTGTTCCCTCCCTCTAGGTACTGGCTATTCCCACAATTCCTGTTGTCAGTAAAGGGTTACTTAATACATCCCAGTTGTTAGCAGAAATAGTGTCAGGTAAGAAGCTACAGATATGCCTTTGTAAAAGTAGAAGGCTGTAACTTATGGAATAGCTAACATTTTCAGGCTACTGTTGATCTTAAAACATAACATGTTTTAAGGACAGCAGAGATGAGTATGATTGATCATCTCTAACTTCAAGTGCATAAGAAGATTCGATTAAGATGCTCATGTTACCTCAGAATAATAAACTTTGGTTTTTTTTTTAAAAAGCAAAAGAGCTTTTTTTTGCGGATTAATATTATGCATAAGCAACCTCTTCAAATGTGTGCTATTAATAACAACTGTATTAGGATGTCATTAGCAAACCAATTTAGTTACTCAGATGTCATGAGACATCTTTTTAGCAGAAAGTATTGAGGAACCTGTTATTTCAGAATTGACTTAAATCTGAAAACGGATTTAGCAAAATACTAATCTGCTGCTGCCACTTCAGGACACATACTTTGGGATGGGCAAAAAGGTGAGTAACATATCTGAAGGATGTGTACAGTTGTATTAAGCAGCCAACGTGTGGCAAAAATGGGCTGTTACAAACATCACATGTGTTCTGTCCTGAGTGTTTTGCATTAGCAAAGCTCTCCTTTGTCTGAAAATGCACAACTAGAATAACAAACAGCAAATTACTGTATTGACACTGTGGATTTGAGCATTTACTTCTGTGGCTGTTCTTGTGAAGAACTTTCCTGTAGTGGAACCTGGGAAACTTTCTTCCTGGACCTTACTTTATAACTGGTTTTCCTTATATGTGTTCTTGAGTGTCTAATGATACAGCTCAATGCTAGTGCTTTCCTTAATAGGACTTTAATTTTCTTCACTTTCATCCAATGAGTAAGAAAGCAGTACAGATCTAAAAAGTATCATACAAACATGCTTGTACAGTTTAAAATCTGATTGGAATGGGAAAGAGAGGGTGGGATATTTACCCCTGTTTCTGGGAAAAGTTTACTAAGGAGGAAGTCACTTCTTTTGTAGACTCTGAAGAAGAATATTTTGATTTTGAGGAAAGTTCTGAACCAACTGACAGGTCACTAATTAAAGGAGAAGAAATAAGAAGTAAGGACCCTGCTAAAGAGGAACTGACAGATCTTCAGCTGAAGTTTGAAATTAAAGAGGTATGTCTCTTAAATTCTTTATGTAGAAGGTAAAAATAGAATATTTAAAAATTCAATATTCCTTTACTGGTGTTCTCCAGATTTAGTGGAGACAAAAACATACCACCAAACAAAAAAAATACACAGGTATATACAGACATATTTCTGTGTACGAGTTATTTATATACGGTATGTGTATGAGGTGGTTTTTTTATATATAGTATGTAGGTAAATAAAACACATACACATACTTCATCTGTGTTTATGTATTAAAAAAACAGCAAAATCCCCCTTTATTGGAGTATTTTTCGTAGAAAATAATAGTACCAAGTCATAATTTGGGGGTGGGAGGTGGGAAATTTGCACTGGAAGAAGAAAGTAAATAGCCAGGCAGGTTACTTGTGAAGAGCAAATCCCCAAATTTTTCTGATATTTATATCTCTCACCATAAAGCAATCACTTTTTTTTTCGATTTTGCATTTTAGCTCTGTAATAAAAATCATACTTCCAGTAAAGCAGGCAAGGCATTAATTTTGCACTTTTTCTTGGTGGTTTGAATGGTGAGAATACTATATGTGAAAAGATGGTATAACTGTGTATTTTTTGCTTATCCAGGTTTTAGTAGAACTCACCAGGCAAAAGAGAACTGAGGAAACGGTACTTGTATTTGATGTAATGCATCTTGGGACAGAAGCTACTGTCAGAACCTATAATTTAGCAGCTGTATCTTATTTAAAGAAAATAAGCTTGGATTACTATGAAATTGGAGGTAATAAGCAATGGAAGAGAAGTATCCTAGTGTGTGTGTGTGTGTGTATATATCAGTTAGTCTGAAACTCTGGCTCTCCTGTCTCTTGTGCTCACTGAAATCCAAATGTTCTGGTTTTCCAGTTACAATACTTAGTATGCAACTGTCCACTGGCAGTGCTTGTCCCATTGGTACAGTTGATAAGCTCTGGACTCCCACCATAATGCTTATTAGATAAAGAAATAGCTTAGTGCTCTATCTTTGGATGGAGAAGGGGTACAGACTTTAGAGGTGATGGAGTCACCATCCCTAGAAGCGTTCAAAAAACGGGTAGATGTGGCACTCTGGGACATAGTTTAGTCTAGTCTACCCTTGATTGGTTTAGTGTGGACTTGGTAGTGTACGTTAATGGTTGGACTGGATGATCTTAAAGGTCTTTTCCAACCTAAATGATTCTATGACTCTATGACTTACCATTTTGGACTTCACGAAGAGAGATCAGTGATTCATATTTGGTGGTGCAATGTATTTTAACAAATGGTATTGGAAGTTAATGCCTATCTTCAAGGCACAAATTCTTTGGTTCTCTGAAAGAACAGAAATTACCCTAATTCTTGGTGTTTCATGTGGTATGTTACAGGTAAAAAAGCACCCATTCATCTAATCAGTTCCTCGGATAAACCTGGCTTAGACCTTCTGAAGGTGGAGTATATAAAGGTATACATAAAACTTCTAAAATTTTTTTTTAAAGCACATACTATATTATAAAGTCTTAAACCTACTCTTCAGAGCTAGTGGATTGTTTTGTATCTTCTGAAGAGCACAGTGACTGATTGGAATTAATATTAACCTCCATGTGAATCATTCTTTTCAGGCTGACAGAAACGGGCCACACTTCCAGACAACTTTTGACAACACTGAACAGATGATTCAAGTGAGTGCTTGCAGATTTTATTGCTTATTTTCTTTTGGTTTGCTTGCTTAGAAGGGAGGAATCAATAAGGGTTTTCTGGCTTTCCTGTTCTCCCCTCCCAGCCTTGCAGCAGGGAGATTTAAGGAGTTAAAATGTACTTGAAAGTTTTTTACAACTTACATTATAAGAGCAGTATGTTAGGCTGTTTCTTAACTATGACGAAAAGCTATCTAGCTAGCTCATGTGGATAAAATTCAAAATAATGTAAGAATGCATCTTCTCATGCATATGAGATCATGAAGTTCCAATGCCCAGTATGGGAAAATGTAGTGGGGTCTAGAAGACTTCCCCTTTTCTGTCAAATAATCTGTTTGTATTGTGAGTGCCACATAATGAGCACTCTGTTGGCTAAATTTATTAAGAAGTCTAAATCCATTTAAGGTGATTTTTTTCTTTTTCTTTTTTTGGTGGGGGGAGGGTGGAGGAGAGCATGTTCTAATTCTTTGCTCTGAAATATGACTTAGGAGCTTCTTGCAATACTGCATTTTCCTCTCCATCACTTTTGTCGTAGACTCTAGAATGAGAATTTGATCTCAAAAATTATTGCAATATAGGGAAATGTTTTTATACAGCAAGTACCTAACTTCTTAAGTTCTGACTGTTGTACTAATGGTGTATTTTTGAGTCGGAGATCTCAATCTAAGGAAAAACAGTGTCTTGAAGAATTCTGGAAATAAACTACAAAGGGCTGTCAGTTTTCCATGATAGGTACTTCCCTCCCTTTATAAATTTATGGCATTGTTTTGCCTGTCACTTTTTGGTGTGAAGACTGTAATATTTTACTTGCCACCTAATAGTTTTAGAGTATCTATAGACTTCATCAGGGAAGTCTTGTTAATACTGGAACCTTTTACCAAGAAAAGGTTCCTGAAGCCGCAGCAGGGATGACAGTTCTACTACTCCAATGCTACTGAGTTGACTGACTTCACACTCTGGGGTAGTGCTGGTGTTAAGAGAACTCAACTTTCTATACATCATCAGGTGTTGCCTTGCAACTCTTCAGTGTGACTTCTGTGTCTGGAAGAATTGCATTTGAGCTCTTTTTCCAATTTCAAGCCCATTCAAGTGGATAACTTTTACTGAACTACGTGGTAGGCACTTACCTTTTGGACTCCTTTAGTGGATTTGTTGAGAAATATCTTTATACGAAGTATCTACATGGCAGCTGCCTGCCACTTTTCTGTTCATGTAGTAGTGTGTTATTGCAGGAGCATTCAAGAGTGGGTCTCTGTTTGGCAGAGCATACTGCTTCAGAAGACTGAATCCTGGTTTAGGTTAGACTACCTTGCTCCAAGTGTGTTGCTCTTAGTCATCTAACGAAGTTTTTCACTTAATGCACTTTTCCACAATGAGTTTCACTCATTTAATGCTTCTAAATCAATTTTGTATCACTTTGCTTTTGTACTGAGGAGGTTATAGGTTAACAGTTACAGCTGTTGGTTTGTTGTTAGGTTTTGTATTTTCTAAGCTTACCACTTTTCTGCTTTACAGAAAGCTTTTTTTCCTTTATGATCTGTTGCTGGTAACACATGCAGCTTTTCTGTTTCTAAGAAAATGTTATATTCCATTGGGTGCTTTTGCACCTCAGTCCAGCTCTTGTACTTGTAAGGTTTTTTTTTTTTTTGTCATATGGAATCTCGTGTTTTTGACAGGTAGCTTTTTCATCATTGAACCTTCTACTGCATACAGAGGCCCTTATGTCTGCTGTCAGTTTTGTAACAGCTGTTAGTCCATCAAGCAATGAAAGTAGTGGAGACACATCAACTAAAGACAAAAAGCAAGAAGATGACACTAGACTGAAGAAAGGTACAGTTGTGTTTGTCAAAATGATAGTTCTGAAAGGATGTGTTGCATGCTGGCAAAATGATCAAATCCAGAGAAACCTGAATAGCTTTGTAGTGTGGGGTGAAGATCAAAGCTTGTGACTGTGACTCACCAAGCTGGGGGACTGACTTCAGAAAAACAGTAAATGAAACAATGATTACAATCATAAATGGTGTCTTCAGGTGAGCTTTCTATTCTTGTGTTTCATTGCCATTTCACAAATAGACTTGAATTTGAGTAAATGAGATTTTTGCAAACTTAGAGGACTCAGCAGCATGATCTTAATGATCATGGTAAAATAAAGGAGATAAATAGTACTTTGATTATGTTATTGATCTAGGTAATTTAAATATACTTTCAAAGAAGTAGTCAAGTCCTTTGCTAGCCTAATGAAAATCTTGCTGTCCCTGTAGCACTGAAACAAAAAATGAATTGATATCAAAACAGGCTCAGAGGGGAGCAGGTACGCTGTCTTTAATCCTAAGTGCAAAACTCAAGCTGAAAATGGGGTGTCTAGTGAAGAATGTTCAGAATCACTTATAAGTTTTAAATGACCTGGGTTTGAATCTGCAGGCTGAAAAAGAAGCTGCTGCTATGTACAGTTTAACAAAGCTCATAGGTATTTGAGCTCTTGCATTAACACTTTGCTACTCTTGGTTAGCGAAGGTGCAGACCATCAGTGAGGTCTGATGGCTTCTGGTCTTCCCCCATAGATAGTTTTTGACACTTGCGTGTGACTTCACCTTATTCTCCCCAGCCTTAACATTTGCTCTTGTAAAATGTGGGTGTTGGCTGCCTGAAATAGGCTTCCAAGGTTTGCCATTTCTTATGAGCTTGAAGTTTAAGAGAAAATTTCCTACATTAGGATCTTGGAATAGGAAATATTAGATACCCTGAAAAAAACACTACTGTGAACCTATTGAGTTATTGACTTAATGTTAAAAATAAGTATACTGTGCAATTTATTTCCTCATAACCCAGCAATTACCCTTCATTTTAAAAAAGTAAAATTGTCCCAGTAGAGAGTCATCACTAGATGGGAGTAATATCAGACATAAAATTACAAGCAAATGCTGACATGTTTTACTCTTATCGGTAGAGTTGCCTTCAGAGGAAGACTTGTTGCTCTAAGATGACATGTCACAGACTTAATCATGATAGTGGTGGTGAAGAAAACTATAAGAAACAAAACTGAGTCATCTGAATGCCAAAAAAACCCCTAGACCAAAACAACCCTTAAATACTCTCAGGAGTTTAAGTGAAAATATGAATTATATGTACCTTGAAAATCCACCCTCTCTCATTTCTAGTGGCTAGACCTTCCAAGGATAAGGATGTCTTTGACTTCAAGCTTTTTGCCAAGCTGGATGCCTTCTGTTTAAATATTTGTGATGAAAAAAAGAACATCGCAGAGATCAAGATACAAGGTATTAAATTCTTTGTTAGTACTAACTGATCTAATAGTTTAGTTTCAAAGCAACTGCTGAATAATTGGACTAAAATATTTAAGGTGTAATTTTTCAGCATCTGACTTCTTTTCTTATTGTTACCTGTTACAAACATGGCTTGTGGTATTGTTTTCAAAGTCAGTCTTCTAGTCTGTCGTAATGTTTTGGCCTCCAGCTAGAAAAGCATGGTATATTATTTTTCAAGTAATTAGGTTTGTGTTTTGAAGGAGTTTGGTTATGGGTGGCTTTTCATGTTGTACTAAGCTGTGGATATTTTTCTGCTATACCTGATGTATTTAGGATTAAAAAAAACCCTTAAAGTGGTTTTCTTTGGTTTTGAACTCTTAAGGTTTGTTTGGGTTTCTTGTTCTGGTTTTGTTTTCTTGTTTCTTTTTTACCAGCCTCAGAGGGGCTATTAATAATTCGGGGCGGGGGGAATTTTACTTCCAAGTTTGGCTATAGCTGCCATCCTAGTAGCTGCCAGAACTCTCTCTTAGTATGAACATTTAAGAACGTGCGATATACAAGAATATCTAATGCAGTTCATAGAAAGTCTCTTGCTTGTGCCCATGTCTAAATCATATGATGTATTAACACAAGATTTTGTATGCAAAAGTGTTGTATTCAAATGCAGTATAGTGACATCTTTTTTGATAGAAAAATCTCAGTAAACTCGCTCAGTAGCTTGGTGTAGATGGATTATTATTTGAATATTTTTCTATGAATAGTAGCTCATTTCTTTCCAGAGATGATTGATATTGAGACAGTATCTGTATTACAAATTTTTCTATTTTGTTTTGTTCAAAGCTGTAGTATGGTCACGTTCTCAAAGCTTGATAACAGACAGCATAATGTACGGACTTGGGTTTGAAGTCTAGACAAGATACTTATCTTCTGTGTCTGACTGATAATATGCAAAAAGTTTTTATTTCCAGAACCTAAAATACTTTTTTTATTTTGGAGAAGTTATGGTAGGTGGGGAATTACTTCTAATTATTCTGATTTGGGTACAGGGAGACTAAAATGACTTGGATCGAACAGAGCTCTTTTATTTACAGTCCCTTCAGCAAGGGATGTGGTAACTGACTTACTTCATTTGGAAACAGAGGAGAGAATCGAGTGTGTTTAGGTATTTTTTTGTGGGTTTTTAAAAATCTTTGTTGATTTTAGCAAACTATTAACAAAATCATTGTTCGTTGCAATGTAATGTTTTCTCACTTCCCCTACTGGTGTCATGTGTCCCCACCTTGAAAATGAGTGTTACTTCTGTTATGCAATACTACTGTTTATCTCTCTTACTTTACAGGTCTTGACTCCTCTCTTCTCCTTCAGCCAAGTCACACTGTATTCTTTGCCCGACTTAAAGACATAGTTGTCACAGATGTTGATTCAAGGACCCATCATAAAAAAGTACTCAACTACTATTTTTTAAGTTTTACTTGATTCTTGGTTAGTTTTGTGTGTATAAAAGTGAAATGTAATACATATTCTTATTCCACTCTTAAAAATATTTGATTTGTCATTAATACCTCTTTTCAAATAAGATACATGGTAAAGCATAGTTTTCATATTAGAAGAATGGATGTCTGAAAAGATTTAAAAAAAAAATCTAATGTACATCTGAGAGGCTGATATATTTAGTTCTTTGTTTTAAGTACCTTTTTAGAAGCTGCTGATGGCTGGTAGGTACTGTTTCTCTCTTTCTAGGCTGTGTCTATAGTAGGAGATGAAGTTTTCAGTTTCAATCTCACATTAGATCCATATGCTACTGAGGGAGAAGCCTACACTGATATGTCAAAAGTGGACGGTACCGTATCTTTGAAAGTAGGCTGTATTCAAATAGTATACCTTCACAAATTTCTCATGTCTCTTCTGGTAAGTCCTTTTTCCCTTTGTATGTTCTCAAATTAGTCTTCCTTGTTTGTGTCCTCAGTACAAGCATAACTTAAGTTTCTGAAGAAGAAAGGATAGGCTTAATTTTTCATGCGTACTATTAAAAAACTTTGATAAGTAAACTTTAACTGGTTTGAATTTCAAAAAAACTAACAGTGCAAGTGGGTCACTTCCCACCCTCTGCTGTGGAAATAGGGAAAAGCTTGGTGCTATTAAGGTATTTTGGGGGTTTTGTGTTCACTGCCCTCTCCCCCCTGGCAAAAACCTGAGTTCGTTGCAAACGTATCTGAGTTAACGTTAGAGGCAAAACTTTCTGCAAGGTTAAATGCTACGAGGACTGCAAATTAATCACTGTAAACACTTCTACCTTCTCAAGTATACTAATATTGGCTTTTTCAATAAAGCACTAGTGGGCTTTCTGTCATTCAGTACTGGCTTTAATAGGAGTTACTTATTCACTGGGGGCAAAGAGGGGATCTAAAAATAATGTGTCCCCAAAAGCTAATGAGGTAAAGGAATCTTGTAGTTAGTGAAGGAAGAAAAAGTAGAAATGCGTTTAAAATGAGTAGATTGCACTGGTTAGTATGTTTTTGACCCTCTATTAGAGGTCATGACAGAAGGCACTCAGTTGTCTTTCTCCAGGGAAAACTTAACACGGTAGGCAGCATAATTGGTGGTTAATGTTGTTTGTGGGTGATGCTGTAAAACAAGAGAGTAATTTAGATTAAAATACTGTTTACAGACATTTCTCCTTTCTCTTCAACTGCTTATTCTAGACCTTCTTGAACAACTTTCAGACAGCTAAGGAGGCACTGAGTGCTGCTACAGTTCAAGCTGCAGAAAAGGCTGCTACCAGTGTAAAAGACCTGGCTCAAAGGAGTTTTCGACTTGCAATGGACATTCACTTGAAAGCACCAGTTATAGTCATTCCTCAGTCCTCAGTTTCCCCCAATGCTATAGTAATAGATCTTGGCTTGATTAAGGTTCAGAACCAGTTTAGCTTGGTGTCTCCAGAAGGCAGTTCGCTCCCTCCAGTCATTGACAAAATGGATGTGCAGCTGACAAAGCTGAAACTGTCTAGGTAAAGTGCACTTTAAGTAATGCCTTAGCTAATTGGTAATATCAGTACGCTATAGGATGTTAATCTATTTGCTTAGAAACCATGGTTGGTGACAGTGTCAAATATTTGGTGTTAAAATACTAACCTGTTACCTTAAGGGCAAATAAATCAGTAGTAAAATAAGATACTGTTCTGCTCAGGAAGCCGTTCAAGCCTAAAGAGATACTACATTTGAGTTTTTAAGATGTTACTTTGAAAATGTAACACATGCCTTCTAACTTCCCCACCATGTGTTTTGTTTTTTTTTTTTTTTGTTGTTGTTCTGCCCTCCTTCCCCCCACCTTTGTTTTAAGGACCACTATGGAGACGGGTTTGTCGCATCCAGACATTCAAATACTTCACCCTATTAATTTAAGCCTGTCTGTGAAACGAAATCTATCTGCAGCTTGGTTTCACAAATTACCAGTATTGGAGATCACGGGGTACCTGGATACAATGAATGTAAGTCTTGTGAAAAGAGAGTGGTGGGAAGCTCACAGTAATCTTAGTGTAAGACCAACCTTTATGTTATTTTTGGACACAAAGGTGCAACAAGCTGCAAATTTTTAGTAGCTGTGGAGTGAGTTTCAGGGATGCCAACAGGGTTTAACCTACCTGTGTGAATGTAGAGGTTTGAAAGTGTCATATAAACCACCTGAACTGCTGTATACATTTATTAAACTGAGAGAAAGAAAAAAAACTGAAAGGGGTGTCAAGGAGTCTCGTTTATTCCCTGTCATAAGGCAAGACCAACTTAAGTGAAATGTTTTTGTGACCAGTTCTCTGAGCGAGTCTTTTTTCAGTGTGTTTTTTGTTTTGTGGTTTTTTTTTTAAAAAAAAAAAGGAATCTTCTTGAGAGGAATTTAAATTTGCCTTAGTAATTCCAGCTTTGTAACTTCCTATCTCCCTTGAGTGACCTCAAGATAGTTGTTATTTTGTAGCAATTTATATACTGTGAAAGCAAGTAGCAGGTACATCTTGGGTGAAACTGGAATTAGAATATCATGAAGTAGCATGTCATTTACAGGAAAGTATTAAAAACATAGATAAGCTAAATAAAGGCTGCAATATATATTGATACAGCTTTAGAAGTCATAACCTTCTTTAATCTCCTAATCCTTTAACAATAAGCGGTTAAAAGAATTTCATTGTGTTACTTAAGGGATGCTGCTGCTGACAAAATACCTGTAAATAAGCACTCTTCTTGCCAGGAAACATTGTTCTGCTTTGCTAACTAGTGATAAGTTTAAAGAACAATGTGTTTTTTCCTAAGAACTGTGATCTGCAATTTTGTAGGTTGTGTTAAGTCAAGAGGATTTGAATGTCTTTCTTAAAGTGTTGACGGAAAACCTTGGTGAAGCAGAAGAAAAAGAAACTCATGCAAAATCAGTACTGCAAAAGGAAGGTCAGAGATGGAGTTTGTTTGTTATGAATATTAAGTGTGTTAGCTTTCAGGAATAATGAAAAACATTTATTATCTGGAAAGTGAGCTTAGATGTGAGAGTATGATGTATAAGTGATAAACGCTTCTCTTTTTAATTTTTCAAGGACAGTGTTCATACTTTAATATTTCAAAAAAGTGGAAACATTACAAGACAAAATTTGGTAATCGTGTTGGCTAAATTGTCACAGAACTAGCAAGGTACTGAGATGCCAGAGTCATCTTGTTGCCAGAACATGTTTCTATTTGCTTTGCCTGCTCTGAAGTTAAGGGCTCTGCTTGTGGAAATGTTACTAGCTTATCTTAGGTGAATGTAAACCATCTAAATGAATAAAAAAATTGGGTATGTTTCTTGAGCTAAACAAATGGTGGCAATTTCAAAAGTTAACCAATTCATTGAATGCTTCAGGTAAAACCAAAGAAATTGAGAAATCAGTTTTGACACAGGATAAGAGTGTTCCAGAAGAAATGCTGTGTGAAAAGAGACAAAGAACATTGAATGAAGATGTAATCAATATGCTACTTAATTTTGAAATCAAAGAGGTGCGTATCCATCTGTAAAATTTATTGTTACTGAATACAGTACTCAAGTCTGTTTCTTAGAAGTAGTGGGCTATAAAGTCCATTTTAACTGTTTAAAGAAGATGGTACATACCAGCAAAAAGTAAACAAAAAACCCCCCAGAACCCAGATTCTTCAGCTGTTTCTTTAGCTGTTTTCTTTTGTCTGTATTATGTGAGATTGTATTTATATTTAACATACACAATACATCTAACAAGGAAAACCAGACTTCTTCTAGATGTTCTGCACTTATCCTTATTCCTTCATAATGCTGCATGTGATTCTCTTAGTAACAAACCAGCTGGTTTAAGCTGGTTAAGCTTGGTCTAGTTAAGCTGGAACTAGTATTTTTCCCTTAGAGATACTAAGTCTGAAGGTTAGATTGTAGGGTGAAGTACTGGGAAGATGCACAAGCAATCAATTAACAAAGATACCTATGCATAAGAAATTATCCAAGCATGCTTTTTCTCTGAAGTTGTCTGTGATACTTAAATGTGAAGAGCTCAGCATGGCCTTCCATTTTTTTCAAGAGTCAGACCAAACAGCTTAGGTATGCAGGTTACTTTAAGTGTTTGGTTTTGGTGGGGGTTTTTTGTTGGTGTTGTGTGTTTTTTGTTTTGCTAAATCTCTGTAGATGTTTTTGTCCATACAAAATGGTTCCTATGGTTCCTATTTTTTAGACAGGAAAAACCCCACTTTCAAACCCAAAACTATTCTATTGCCGAGTGAGAGTTGTGTTCAAAGACTAGAAACTTCCTCCTAACCCCAGCCACCAGGGAAACATATTCTGTGTGATGGATATGAAATCATATAAGAAAACTTAGTTTTAAGGGCATTAGAAATACTTGTCCCACAGCTGAAGTGTGGACAGGTAGCAAGTTGATACTATCCCAGACTTTGGGTTTTCTCAGTTTTTGCAGAATTACAGTTGCAATTGGCTGTTGAGGTACCTGTCAACAAACATCATGTAGTTATGCAACATGTATCACTAGTACTTTTGGCAGCTTCTAACTTTCAGATTTGCTGTCTTGGCTGTGAAGAATTTTTTTTAATGATAGGACTGAGGCGTATTACAGGCTAGCCTGTAGTGCTCCATGTTGTCTTATTTAATGTATCTTACGAACAATTCTGTCTTGTTTAATACAGTTTTACACATGCTTCACATGGAAATTTTTGTTAGTGTCCACATTGTCTGTGGACTGTATATGTTGGGTGATGAAAAAATGCTAATTTGTTAGTGTACAAATAGTATGCCACATAAGGATGCAGACAAAGTATTGGCAAACTTGCATTCTTTAAATTCCTTGTGTGGTAAATTGTTAGGTTGAGGCACTATTTTTAGTTCCCAAGAATGGAAGATAATTGCTTCATGAAATAATTGCACTGAAATTAACATTGTTCGTTAATAACTGTATCTAGTTCTTCTTTAATTGAGAAACATTTAGAAACACAAGTCCTTTCTTATTTTCAACATTCTAATTGGCATAATGCTTAAAATCTTCTATAAATGAAGAATTGTAATGTTGAAACATTTCTGTGTCCTTTATTATTATTTGCATAGCATCAGATATTCAAAGATTGATTCATGTTGCTGTCTGTTCTCTATTGCCCTTCCTTCCAGACCAGTATGATTTGTAGTAACTCTTTTTCCCATATTCAAACTCTGTATGTAACACTTTGTAGTGTCTGGTCACAAAACTGAAGTATAGCTTGACAAGGTACAGATATACTGCTAGGCCAACAAAATGAAATTCTAGCTAAACTAATAGACTTGGGATTTTTGTTTTGTGGTTGAAGGAGTAAAGAAGTGATTGGTTTTTTGGCCAAGAGGAACAGAGTGGGGAAGGGGGGAAAATCTTTAGTGAACTGATGTTGTAGGTTCTCTTTGTAAAAAGGCAAAATGTCTGGATTAATAACCTCTTTTGAAGCTTAGCTGAGGAGAAAATGCCCAGTCATAACTGCGTGCCATAATATCTAGACAGTTTTACTGAAATAGTGAACATATTCCCCTTTCCCTATTCAAGGTTGTAATAACCTTGATGAAGCAGGTCCAGAAGGAGAGATATCCATTACATATTCTAACTGTGCTACAGCTTGGAACCGAAACCAAAATTAGAAATCATGAATTGACTGCAGCAGCCTATCTGAAAAAAATTATTATGAAATGCATTGAAATAAATGGTAAGTCTTCCAGAAAACTGGTATGCAGTCAGTACATTGTGTGCAATCAGCTTTTGTAGTAAGAGGATAGCATGGTCAAAAATAATAATTGGCGGGGGTTGGGGGCGTGGAGCAGGAGGTTACATGCCAAATTCACTTAATGATGCTGTCCTATATAATTTAGATTCAGTTAACCTGTTTTACCTGATACCAAGTTTTAATCCTGTTGCTTGAGTTAATTTGAGTGAGTTGCCTGCTTTGAGTAGGAATGGTCATTCCTGAGAAGTATTCTATCTGTTCAGAGTATTTTGATGAGCTTCTGAATCTGTGCTTTATGACCAGTTCTGGCAGTACTGGAAATCCAGTGTGCTTTCTTGATTGGTCAGGTAACAATTCAAAGGGATTTTGAAGTAATAACTGAAACAGCCATGTATTCAAAGAACAAAAATATGGTTTTGAATATAAAAACCTGAAGACAGAAATGCAAAACTAATTATAGGAATGCAAATAACTTTCCAATTTCAAATCTTCTTTCAGGACCAAGATAAGTTAATTTTGACTATTTAATTTAGAAAAGTGAATACAGCATTTCATAAGGTAATACTTAATCTGCAGCTTCTCAGTGAAAAGAGATGTTTACCTTCACTATTTCAGCAAGAATAGTATATAATTAGTATATAATTGAGAATTAGCATGGAGGCATTCCATAGGTGGAGTAAAGTTTGCGAGTGGAAATACTTTACAGTTTTATTTCTTTATTTGCAGACTCAAAGGGAGATCCTCTTTGCATTATTAATTCATCAAGTGAGACAGATGAACATCTTCTGAAAATGGAATACATTAAGGTTTTTTTACATTTTAACTAAGATTATATGGGGAGTAAAATAAGCCTTCCATACTTAGCCTTGTATTAGGATTTGGTTTTGGTTTTGCTTGTTTTAGAACCTGTAGGAATTGTATCTAAAACTTATCTAGGTCTTCTCCCAAATACCTATTTTTCAACTTGGCATTTCATTTCACTCTCCACTGCTTCCATATAGTGCTTGATTTATAAGGCAGCACAATTACCAAAATCACTGGTGAAGCCAAATGTTTGTATGCATTCTTCTCTGTGAACAATACAGATTAGTGAAACTTACATTGGCAGACTGTCTCACCTATTAAGTGATAGGTGGATCTCTACAGGAGGTAAAACTAGCATTTGAGGAGTTATTTGTTGGTAGCTAGAGTTCTTGAGCTTTTATTATTTAAAAAAAAAAAAAAAGCACCCATCAAAAACTGCATGAATACTCAGGAATCTGATAGGTTGTAGAACCAGTGGGCCAATCATACTCTTATCTATAATGACATAACTTTTGTACGGAAAAACAAGTTCATTTGTTCTGACAAAACTAAGTGTAAATTGATTCAATTTAAATAGATCCTAGGTAAGAGAAAATTTTGTAACTGGCCAGTTGAACTTTCACAAAATACGTGCTATAAAATGTCCTGAGCAGAGCACTGCGAGTACCCCATTCTGGTTGCCTCGATCATGTGCTTTATTTAGAGAACTTGTTTCTTCAGGCTTTGTCACTTTCCTTCGTTTTCTTTTGCAATGGAAATAATCCTTCTGTGTGTTAAATTCAGTTAATGAATTCTGTTAATTCAAGAGAGACTTGTGCACTTGGGCTTTTTGTTTTTTTCTTCCTTTAGGCTGATGTTGATGGACCAGATTTTGTTACCACTTACAGAAGCACCAAGCAAAACATCAATGTAAGTACTGGATGTATTTAATTTTTGTTAAGCTTCTCAAATAGTAACAGCTATGTAAACAGCTGTGTAAACTTGTTAGTTGCCCACTTCCCCCCCTCCCCGTTCAATGAGAAGAGAAAGAAAACAAAACCCTGGCACTCTCATCAGTAAAACTTACTGCTTTATATTTAACTACTTCAGAGAGATATCCAGTAGGGAAAAATATGATTTTTTTTTTTTTTTTTACAGAAGTATTTAATGTATTAATTTTTTTAACTAGAAGCTGTACATTTTTAGCTAGTTAAAATTTATAAGGATGTATTTCTAAGTGAGGCCTGTAGGATGTGTTTTATTTCTGGAGTGGTACACTTAGCAGCGTGTGAAACGAAGGCCTTCTGTTTCAGAGCTTGAATGTTTGTAACAGTGAAATTGAGAGGTGAGGTGAAATGTCAAACAAGCATTCTCAGAGGTCTTGTGTTCAATCAGTCCTTTTTTTACTTCTCCTGAAAGCAACTATTCATGTGTAGTTTTCCATGGCTTCAGTGACTTCTGAAGAAAGCAGGTCATTTTGCTTTTAAAATGTTTCCTTTAAAGTAGTAGTGGTGGGTGGAGCTTGCTTCTTTACAGCCATATGTGGAATTTGAAGTGGCTGGACTACTTTAGAGTCAAGAAAGATGACATCCCTTAATGTATCAGTAAAACCAGCATTTACTGAGAGTTGCTTTGGGCTACAAAAAGTCAGCTAGCTGATGCTAGGTTTGACTAATATTGGCTAGAGTAGTTGCTATTCACATACTTTCTGTTCTGCTTGCAAATTTTGAATCTTGTTGTTTTGTTGTATCATACCCACTAAAATATCTCTATACGTAGTTCTGAAGATGTCAACCAAAGTGCTCAATAGTCCACAATGAAATGCAGCAGAACTAAGAGAGCTTACAGAAAAAGCATAACCACATGAAGCATACATTTTTAGATTGGCACAGTTCCTCTGTAGCTGTTTTAAGCTTCCCTTCTATAGCTCCCTCATCTGTTCTTGAGCTTGTGTGGTGTCAAGTTGAAGGAGATAGAAGGGTGAGATGCTTGTGAAATTGAGCAAGGCACTTTTTTTTCTCAATTTTGTGACAGTAACTCTGAGTTGTTATGCAATAGACTGTTGCTAAATAACAATGTTACTCTGTCTCCTTGTCCTCATTTTAGGTCATCTTTTCATGTTTGGATATAGTACTTCACACAGAGGCTTTGCTTTCCATCATGAGTTTTCTCACATTCAGTGTTCCATCAGGTGGTCTTCCCAGTACTGATAAAGCATCAGATCACAAGCCTCAAATAAAAGAACAAGAAAAAGGAAGTACTCTTAGACCAGGTAATGCAGTATTAGAAAGGCCATACTTTTGTTGCTTAACAGTATCTAGCCTCTGGTTTCAAAGGATACCATTTCAGGTGACAGCATTGCAGTCTATTTGGTGGAAAAACAAGGCTTGCAGTACTGTATGTGGGGAGAATATAATCTCATTTAATAAAAAGCCAGATACTTCTGCTGTTGCTTTATTTTACAAATTCTCCTTACTCAATATAATTTTTTCCTAGGTAGTGGCCTGACTTTTAAATAGAAGTCAAATAAATGATGTTGCAGTAAACAGTACCAAAGCCTTTCCAAAGTATCAGTGTCACAACTTAGTTGCTTGCCAATCTGAAGGCTCTAAAGAGTGCTTACGTTGCTGAAAATAAACATTCTTGAGCCTTGGGAAAGCAAAGAGAAATTCTGAACTGAAGGGTGTTGTGCTGATTTTAATAATTGGTATCTGTAACCTTGAAATTATTCTTGAAAGTATGAGTTTTTGTATGGAAGCTCCTTAAGAATGTTAGGTCCTGTGCGGTTGATTCTTGTGTTTCTAGTGTTGTTTGGGAAATTCGAGGTTTTCTAAATCTATTGGAATTGAGTTTACAGTGGCTGGCTGTTACATTTTGTGTTCTGCAGGCACTTCCAGTTTTGCTGCAGAAACTTTTTTCACCTAATATGTCTAAATTGGCCTTGCTACTCTATACAGAAAGGAACATTTCTCATGTGAAATAGTGTTTCAGATAATGAAATGTACACTGTATTCAGCATACTGTTGCGGGAAAACTAGATATTAATGAAGAGAAAAAACATCATCTTGATTGCTGTTTGCCTGTGTTAGTTGGTGACTATTCTTGAACCAGAATAAAACTGTGTTAATAAAAGACTTATTTCACATTTTGACTAATAATTAGCAGTAACTTTTAGGGAATAACGGCAGGTTGTTTTTTGGATAGTTCATATCGAGTGCACCCTCAGCAAGTTTGCAGATGACACCAAGC